TACCGGACATCTGGCCCAGCAAGCAAGGCACTCAATGAGCCTGGCCAGGTGGGCGGCAGCCAGTGTCCAGATGCCGACAGCCTGTGTGTGGGCAGGTGGCTGACTGCGCTCCTGGCGGCGTGCCCGTCTCCGCGGTACGGAGCTGCAGTTGCCCACTTCCTCCCAGAGCCCTGGCTGCAGAGCCCAGGCGCTTCCCGGCTGGAGGATCAGGGATGCCACCTGAGAACGTGGCTGCTCACTCTCAGGGAAGGCTGACGGCGGGCCAGAGGTGTGGGTGTGCACAGTTGGAGCATGTGCATGGGGTGTGGGTGCGTGCACAGTGTGAGTATGTGCATGTGGTATGAGCGTCTGTATGACCCTCCTCACCCAGCGCCCTGTCTAGCGGGTTGGGAGGTGAATAGGAGGCAAGCAAACAAGCAAAACAGTCTCGCTGTGATGAGAAAGCAGGCTGCGGGGAGCGGGGAGGCCTCCCTGAGGAGATACACGGGGACCTCTGGCGCCAGCGGCCGGAGCGGCATTCCTGGTGGAGGAGACGCTGCAGGCAAAGGCTCCTCTGCTTGCTTGAGGCCCCCTGGGGTTCATCTCCTTTCCGGAGGCCATGGGGGCTGGAGGGGGCGCGGGGCACGTGGGTGGGGCCGTCTGAGAGTCACATGGGTGAAGAGCCGGGTGAGGAACGCATTTGGCGTGTCAGTGTCAGCCTCAGCATCGCAGGCAGGAGCCGTGGCCTGTGTTTAAGCTGCATGGACACGGTCACAGGCCTCACTGAGCACAGGAGTGGGAAAGGTGGTGGGTGGGAAATGACAAGACCCACAATCTCCCAAGACCACCCTTGCTCTTAGAAGCTGCCTGCAGAGCGGGGACGGGGATGTGGGACCTCCCAGCAGGGGATCCCTCGAGGGCCCGCCCTCCCCATGCACCAGGCTACCTCCACCATCCCGTGGGCTCTGCAGTCACAGGCAGCCTACCCTGGACGCCGGTGTCAATGGGTTACTGGCGGCTGAGGAGTCCAAGCCACTCCCCCTGCACTTGGCGGGTTTCCCAGGGGCTGGGAGCATGGCTGATGACTCCGATCCTTTGAGAAATGTCTACATTTTTACTGGGTTTAGTGTAAGATTTTTTTTTTTTTTAAATCAATGCTTCTGTAAGTTCAGGCTTTTCCTCACTTCCCACTCCCCCAGGAGCTGGCTAAACGCAGCCCTACCTCCTCCTAACAATGGGAAATTCCTGGGGGGGCAGGGGACGGAGGGCTGGGACTTGCTGTCTGCACAGGCTCTTCTGTTGTCCAAACGGTGGGATTAGGATGACAAACTCTGACCCAGGCCACATGACTGAGAACCCATCGTCCTCATTTCCCCAAATTAAGTCTGGTTTCTCGGCTGGCGAGCTTTCCCGCGGGGATCATCTGTCTCTGCGGCCTGCGGGGCAGGACTTGTCCTTCCTCCTGGGCAAGAGGGAGCTGGTGCTGGTGCAGAGGGAAGCTGCTTTCCAGGGCCGGCCGCGGAACCCCGCGTGGCTGACCCTGGAGACAAACAGCTTCCTGCGGCCTGTGAGCAGGAGGGCGGAACAGCGTCACGGGCTGTCCCAAAGGCCCGCGAGCAGGGTGTCAGGGCCGGCCCCTTCCAAGGCCAGCAGGGGCCGCCTCGCCCCTGATGTCGCTCAGCCACCCGCCCACCAGCCAGGAGAAGCCCTGCCCTGTCCCAGGTTAGGGCCGGGTGTGCAGTCAGGACCCCTGGATTGGGAGAAGCGGGTTTCCGGAAAAGGCTGAGCCTGCTCGCTGACCGGCACCGCCTGGCAGGGTCGCTGTGCAGGCTCCCTGGAGGGACGATGCTGATGTGCTGTGATCTGGCCTCGCCACCAGCAGCTGCCACGTCCGCTGACCACCCCTAGGGGCCTGATGGTGTGTCCAGAGGAATGCAGAGGCAAGGGCTCCCTGTGGGTGGGGACAGAGAAGAGCTGGAGATGGCGGGTTCCCCAGACCCCTGTGCTGGCCTGGGAGGTGACGGTGGCCACCATGGTTCTCAGCTCCCTCACTGGTCTGTGCTGGGCTGCTTAGTATGGCTACCGGCATGTGGGGGACGAGGGGGAAGCTGGAGGTCTGGGGACAGTGTTCAATACAGAGGTGCTGACAGGACAGCACCCTGCTTGGCAGCTCACGCTGGCTGCAGGCCTCTCCGGGCTGGAGCTGGGCATCTGTGCACCTGAAATTTTCCACTCTCCTCTGGATCCTCATTGCTGTCTTGGCAAAGATGGCTTGAACCTGAAAGCTTTCCATCTATCCTAATAATAAAAGTGTAATACGCAAATCGACCAGATGGTGGAACAGCGGAATGACCACCCGGATGACCATCCCGGACCACGCTATGGCCAGGCCAGCCAAGGCGGCGGCGACGTGATTGGCCAGAGGCCCGGCCTTTGCCCGTGATTGCCCTGCAGAGGGAGGCCCTGCCACTGGCTGGCGGGCCAGGGGGTGTGGGCGCGGCCACTGCGAGGGGAGCCCGGGTCCCAGGTGCTGGAGGGAGGCCAAGGCCTACTCTTGCACAAATTTCATGCAATGGGCCTATAGTTTTTAAATAAATGGAATTCCTGTCACTTGCATGGAATTCAGCCCAACTGAGCATGCTTACGACTTGCTTCACCTAAGCTGCAGGTATGCTGGGGGGACACCAGACAGTTGACGATGGACAGGACACAACACTGAAGACATAGGTGAGCAATGCGCCAGCTCACTGGAAGGACATGCAACAGAGGAGGCAGAGGCTCACACCTGACGCAGGTGGGCCTCCGGAATCTACCAAGAGCCTTTGCAGATGAGAGGAGAGAAGGTTCCAGCATTCCCTGCCCCCCCAGCTCCTCCCACACACTCAGCCAGGCTTCCTCCTTAGGGGCCTCCATCTCCCCCCTCCCCCAGCATCGCTAGTCTTACAAGGGCTGTCCCAGAAGAGCCTCCCCTGGGAGGGACTGGCCTGTCTCAGGGGACCTTCTGGAGTTTGACATCTGAGATGCGGTGACTTGGTCCAGCCCTCTGAAGAGTGAGAGTGAGGGTCGCCCAGATGCCATCCCCATGGGCCAGTTGTGCGGGAATGCAGAGCGCCCTCCTCTCCTTTTGCCATCCAGTCACACCCTCCCCCTCCCCCATGGACCAGGCTGGCGCCTCCTTCCTCAGCCTGGGCCCTGGCACTGGCCACTGGCAAGTAGGGGGGAGGGGGGTCAGGATGTGGCCCCTGGGACCTGCACTATGCACAGTCCAGCCCCAGCATGTTGGATGACTCACAAGTTAGCCCTGTGCCTGCAAGGACCACTGTTTTCTGTCGAATTAAAAAGAAAAACCAGGCCACTTGGCTACTAGCTTTGGAGGCCAAAGGGTAAGACTAGAGTTGTTTTTAAGTCAAGTTACCAGTGAGGACAGCGACCCCTGGACAGGCCTTTACTTAGCAGCCCCCGGTGCAGGGCAAATGTGGGAAGAGGTGGGGGGCTTTAGCCCCTGCTGCTGCCCTGACCTCTGCCCCTGCCATCACCACTGCCCCTGCCATCAAGGCTGCCCCTGCCATCACTGCTGCTCCTGCACTGACCTCTGCCCCTGCCATCACTGCTGCCCCTGCCATCACTGCTGCCCCTACCATCACTGCTGCTCCTGCACTGACCGCTGCCCCTGCCCTGACCTCTGCCCCTGCCATCACCGCTGCCCCTGCCATCAAGGCTGCCCCTGCCATCACTGCTGCTCCTGCACTGACCTCTGCCCCTGCCATCACTGCTGCCCCTACCATCACTGCTGCCCCTGCCATCACCACTGACCCTGCCATCACTGCTGCCCCTACCATCACTGCTGCTTCTGCACTGACCGCTGCCCCTGCCATCACCACTGCCCCTGCCAGCACCACTGCCCCTGCCAGCACCGCTGCCCCTGCCATCACCACTGCCCCTGCCATGACCTCTGCTCCTGCCACGGACCTCTGCCCCTGCCATCACTGCTGCCCCTGCCATCACCACTGCCCCTGCCATCACCACTGCCCCTGCCATCACCACTGCCCCTGCCATCACTGCTGCCCCTACCATCACTGCTGCTCCTGCACTGACCGCTGCCCCTGCCATCACCACTGCCCCTGCCAGCACCACTGCCCCTGCCATCAAGGCTGCCCCTGCCATCACCACTGCCCCTACCATCACTGCTGCCCCTGCTATCACCACTGCCCCTGCCATGACCTCTGCTCCTGCCACGGACCTCTGCCCCTGCCATCACCGCTGCCCCTGCCATCACCACTGCCCCTGCCATCACTGCTGCCCCTACCATCACTGCTGCTCCTGCACTGACCGCTGCCCCTGCCATCACCACTGCCCCTGCCATGACCTCTGCCCCTGCCATCACCGCTGCCCCTGCCATGACCTCTGCCCCTGCCATCAAGGCTGCCTGTGCCATCACCGCTGCCCCTGCCATCACCACTGCCCCTGCCATCGACCTCTGCCCCTGCCACCGACCTCTGCCCCTGCCATCACCGCTGCCCCTGCCATGCGCTCCAGCAGGGCCTGGGTTCTGGCCACCCCCTCATGCTGCCCCCCTCCCGGTGGAGTCCTTGCTCTTCAGCCAGGTCTGCAGACACAGCCCAGGCTTCAAGGGACCAGTCTCTTGCTCGGACCACTGTGCCCACGGCCGGCCATCTCCTCCAGGACCCCTCCTCCTAAGAGGTTCAGGCCACCTCTTAGGAATCCTCCCCTGACCTTCCCTGCACTTGCAAGGGTCAGTGTGGTGGGGGTGGGGGTGCCGGTGCAGAGGCGCTAGGCCCGCGCGGGTGTGTGTGCCTGGGCGCCCACCTCCGAGGGGGCCAGGGGGCAGGTGGCCAGGGAGACGGAGGGGGGAGGGGCCGGCAACGGCGCTGGGTTCCCGCCCTCCCGCCCGCGGCTCTGCAGGGGTTAACGGGGCGGGGCGAGGCGGAGGGCGGAGCGCGGCCTCCCCTCCTCCCCTTCTCCCTCCTCCGGCCCCCCGCGAGGCCCGGCCGCCAAGCGGAGCCGCCGCCGCCCCCGCCGCCCTGCCCTGCGGCTCGCGGGCCGGGGGCCTGGGCTCGGGCGCCCCTGGCCGCCCCTGAGCGCGCCGCCGCCCGCACCATGGTGCAGAAGCCGCGCAACGGCGGCGTGTACCCCGGCCCGAGCGCCGAGAAGAAGCTCAAGGTGGGCTTCGTGGGTCTGGACCCCGGCGCGGCCGACAGCACCCGCGATGGCGCGCTGCTCATCGCCGGCGCCGAGGCCTCCAAGCGCGGCAGCATCCTCAGCAAGCCGCGCGCGGGCGCGGGCGCCGGGAAGCCCCCGAAGCGCAACGCCTTCTACCGCAAGCTGCAGAACTTCCTCTACAACGTGCTGGAGCGGCCGCGCGGCTGGGCCTTCGTCTACCACGCCTACGTGTGAGTGCGCCGTCCGGCCTCGGGGGCGCGGGCGAGAGGTGTCGGGGCGCCAGGCCCGAAGGAGTTCTGGGGTGCGGGGCGCCTGCCCCCCATCTCCTCCCCCTCCCCCATGCGGCGTGGCTGGGCTGCCTCAGCCCCTCCCCTGCGGGATGGGGTTTGCGTAGCCCAGCCCCCCTCATCGGCCCGGAGAGGCCCCTCCCCACGGCCACTGCACCAAACAAAGGCCTGCGGGGAGGGAGGGCGGCGCTGCCCGCTAGCCTCCGGCCCTGGACTCAGGGGTTCCCCTGGGCTGGGCTCCCCCAAAGAGGGGGATGATGGGGGAAGGGCTGGCCTACCTTCCCCAGCCCCCCAAGCAACTCATTCCCTCTGCGGAGAGCTTCTGGGTTGCTGAAATGGGAGGGGTCCTAACATGACTCCCCTCCCCCAACTCGAAGCTCAGAGAAGTTGAGTCCTGACCCCGTGCTTGCAGCTGGCCACCCTGCCTGCATCCCTGAATCTCCCTCTGCCCTCCCTCCCCCGCCCCTCCCTCTTATCTCCCCGCCCCCCCAGGGGGGGTGCTGCTGCAGGGCCTGCCAGCCCTGACCCGGAGAGGTGGCTGGTGCCCAGGCTGGTGCTCAGGGGTTCCTGCCCTGGGGCAGGGCCAGTGGCCTCTGGCTGGCGTCTGTGCACACGAGTGTCGTGGCGGTGTCCCCGGCAGGGCTCTGGAGCGCCGGCACCTCCATCCCAGCCAGACCGGCCGCTCAGCCATTTTGTGTGAGACGCGTTTTGGGACGGGATGAGGGGCGGTTCTGGGAAGCTGTCTCCACCCGGCCTGGGTGAGGGGGTGTGCTTGTGCGTGAGGCCCTGAGTGTGACCAGGCACCTGGCCATGGGAATGGACAGACCCTCCGTGGGATGGGGCGTGACCCTGGGAGGGAGGGTGTCCTGGGCACTCTGTCCCAGCCTCAGCACCCCGCTCCTGGGAGTCCCAAGCGTCACGGACTCCTGGCCTGGCGGCTCCCGGCATGGCGAGCGAGCCCAGGGCACAGGCGGCTCTGCTCTTCCTGGGCGGCTGCTCAGAGTGCTCTTCAGCCTCGGGAGGCCCAGGGCCTGCTCCCCAAGGACCTCCGTCTGGCAGGGCCCAGGGCCTCTGGTGGGACAGGCTGTGTTCATCCAGGCCCTGGCCAGTGGCCTCGGGGCACGCACGGCCCAGCCCACGCCCGGCAGGTGCCGGAGTTTGCCATGCTTTGGCACAGATGTGCTTGGCTGGCAGCTTTCCTGGGGTCCTCTCCGCGTGGTCTCTCTGCTTGGGCCTGAAGTGCAGTGTTCAGGAGGAGCAGGCGTGTGGGGACCCTGGGCCGCTCTGCTCCTGCTTCCTCTCTGGGCAGCCCAGGAGCAGGACGTGGGGGCCCACAGCGTGGGGGCGTCAGTGGCATTAGCCTCACTGCCAAGGCAGCCCTGCCTGCAGCCTGCTCAGGCCCTCCTCGGCCCCTCCACCGCGAGCACAAGCTTCCGAGCTCCCCTAGCCTCCAGCTCACCCGTGGGGGCTCAGACCAGGGAGAGGCTGCTCAGTGGTAGGCGGTGTCTCCCGGGGAGTGGGATGGCAGGAGGGGTCTGTGGCTGCTGTTGGGTTAGGCGTTGGAGCCTAGTCTTTGTAGGCCTCAGTTATGCTCCAGTGAAGTGGCCCAGAGGGTCTGGGGGAGAGGAACTCCGGGGCCGGGGCGGTATGCTCTCCCCACGAGGCCAGGGCCGTCCTGGGGGACTTGTTGCCTGTCACCCTGTGCCCAGGTGTGGAATGCCCCTCTGCCTGTGCCGCCACCCACAGGCCCAGCCCCCCGACACGGGAGCTTCACTGCCCACTGACCCCGAGGGTGTGGCGCCCCATGCCCTGCTCCCTTGCCCAGCTTGGGCTGACAGCCTGACTCATGTTTTGGCTTGTGGATTCCTTAATTAAATGAAGGGCAAGCTCCTCCTCCTCCTCCTCCTCCTCCTCGCCCTCCTTGCTGGTTCTGTGCGGGGGTTCTGCGTCGGCTTGGAAACTGGAGGAGGGTGGGGACACGGTCTGGGCTGCAGTGCTCGTGGAGTCCCACCTGGGCCTGGGGCAGTACTGAGCCCTCCTTGATCACCCCTTTAGCCTTTCGTCTTCACGCCTGGTTTTTGGAAGATGGGAGTGTCCCAGGGAATCTCGGGGGACAGCTGCTGCCAGAGGTGGGAGGGAGGGAGGCGACTGCCTTGTGGACTCTGGGCTTTGTGGGCCTCACACCAGTTCCCCCTCCCGCCCACCCCCGGCCAAAGGGGCTCTGCAGACGTGCCTCACTGGCTGCTGAGCTTGCCAGAGGCACTGAGACCGGAGCCTTCCCTGAGTTGGGAGGGGGAGTATGGGCCAGGGTCAGAAATACCTGGGTCCCCTCCCCAGCCCCGAGGCCCGGGAGGGTCCTTCCTCTGTGTGCTGGACGGAGAGTGGGCCCCACCCGAGGCGCCCGAGCACACCTGGGCTCGGAGAAGCTGCGGGTCGTGTGGGATTCTGGGAGGGCAGCTTGAGAGTTTCCATGGCTCCCTCAGTGCTGCCTCCCTCAGGTGTGGCCTCAGCAATGACCCCAGCAATGGCCAGGCCCTCCGTGGGGAGCCAGGAAGTGCTCCGCCCGTGCGGGCAGGGACTCGGCCCTGAGTTCTGTGCTCCTGGAAGTGGGGGGTTCTCTGTGTTAGCGGACCTCAGGTCCAGGGTCTGGAGTTTGCAGGGGTTTCCCAAAGGGGGCTCGAGGATGTGCTTGGGAGAGGGCCTGTGAGGGTGGGGACTGCGGGCCCTGGGCCAGCCTGGCGGGGACCCTGCCTCCACTGACGCCCCCAGACTTCAGCCCTGAGTTTCCTCATCTGTAATGTGAGGGTTGATTCTGTGAGTCACTCAGCGCAGTGCTGGGTGCGTGTGACGGGCACGCAGCTCGTCACCTTGACTGGTTCAGCAGGCGAGCCTCGTCCTGAAGGGGTGGAGGGCGCAGCAGGCAGGGCTGGCGTGGGCTGATGGCGTCCTCAGCCTCCCGCCCTCCGTCCTGCCTTGGCCAGTTCTCAGCCGGCAGCCAGCACTGGGCCTGAGGGAACGCCTTACTGAGGCACTGTCTTTTGAAAAAAGAAAGTCTTTCGTTGTAAGGTCTGCAGGCAAGGAGACATGAGGTGGTGCTCACATCCCCCACCCAGGCCCCTGGCAGATCTGAGGGTTTCAGCACCGGACTTCCTGGACAGCGCACTGCGCTTCTGAAAGGCTCAGGCCCCATCCCGTCCTAGCTCCGTCCTAGCTGGAGGCTCTGGCGCAGCCGCTGAGGTCCGCAGCGTTACCGTGAGGTGTCCGCGGTGTGACGTGTGAGTGGGTTCACAGGTGTGACTCCTGAGTGGTGTACCCAAGGTTTCACCTTTGGTTTTGGGTTTTGTTGGAAATAGGACAGGTTGGGTTTGAGCTGGCTCTGTGGTTGCCAAGGGGTTCGGGGCTGCTGCTTCGACATGAGGGCGCCCTTGGGCGCGAGGCCGGGGCCTGACACTCGTCCAGGGCGGGCTGCTCGCCTAAGGAGACTGAGCTCGGCGCTGCCCAGGCATTGGGAGGCGCTCCTGCTCTGCCGATGGCAGACGTCCTGGCATCCTGAAACGCACCGCTGCGGGCAGCTTGTTCCATGACCCCTGGACCGTGGGACACTGGGCTCCCACCAGGGCTGTGCTGACTCGTCGTGTGGGCCGCGAGGCTGGGCCCACTTCGATGGGCCTGTCCCAGGAGCGTGGGAGATGCCGGCCGGAGGCTGGCGCTCAGCTGAGCTGTCCGACGACAGTCTGCGACGGCGCTGGCAGCCTCTCCCCCGCCTCCTTCGTGGCCGTGCGCAGGCACCGCGGCAGACGACGCACCTTCCCGTTGTGACCCCAGGGCCTGTCCAGCCTTCCCTACAGGACCCCAGCAGCGGTTGGGTTCAAGGCAGAAGGAAGAGAAGCAGACCCAAGTTTGTCCCCCAAGGACACCGCCATCCACGCTGAGAAACCGCGTGCTGCCGCCCGACTCAGGCCCGCCCTGCCCCGGCCCCGCCCCGCCCCCTCTGAGCCCAGACCAGGGTCCGCAGGGCAGGTCCCGCTGACCTGTTCGCTCGCTTCCCTGGCAGCTGGTACGGCAGTGAGCTTGTTCTTGTGAGGTGGGTGCGTGCAGGAGGGGGTCAGTGCAGAGAGAAGACTGTTTCTAAAGCCGGGCATCACTCATGTGAACTGAGAGTCAGAGGGGAGGCTCCGGCCCTCCAGGGAGCACATGGCTGGTCTGTTGTTGGGGGGGCGCTGGGGTGTTTGTTATTCGAGCTGGAGACAGACCATGCTGTTTTGTGGTGGTTACTCCTCAGTCGAGGATATCTTCCCATTGATTTTTAGAGAGTGGAAGGGACGGGGAGACAGAGAAACATCAACGGGAGAGAGACACATGAATTGGTTGCCTCATGCACACGTCCCAACCGGCATCGTGTCCTTGACGGAATCAAGATGCTTCAGTGCGTGGGCTGGTGCTCTAACCACTGGGCACGATGACCAGTGTGCAGACCATGCTTTTAATTCCTCCGCGAGAAAATAGGGCTGAAGACCTTGAGGGTCTCGGTGCCCCTGGGATGGGTGCGCCCCAGCCCTGCTCGGGCCTGCACTCCGGAGGTTCTGCTGGACCCTCATGGGAGCTGTGAGGATAACTCTGCAGAAGAATAAGGTGCTTCTAACACAGTTTGCCTCGGGAGGTCTGTGTGGCTGTTCCTGCAACCCACTCAGAGTTGTCTCGCTGGAGGGCCGGGCTGGTGGCGCCGGAGCCTGCGGTGGAGGGGGCGGAGGAGGGATGGGGGGCCCCAGCGGAGGGTTTCCTCCTGGAAAAGCGGGTCTGGGCTCTGGGTAGGTGTGGGTCAGTCACGGGGTCTGGACGGCGTTTCTGGCTCCCTGTTCTATAGGGACTGGTGAGAGAGACGTCTCTGGGATGGTGGGTGTTGGAGTTGGATGTGATTCCTCAGGCCGCCAGCCTGAATTTCA